CAACCCTGAGTACAGGTACTTCGAGGCTGAAGGGGTTAACCCCTGCAAGAGGGGTCTGGAGCAGGAGGCTATAAAAGCAGTCAGAGGGTGTCCATGAGGTGTTGGGTAGAACAAGACACAGTTGTGAGAGAGCTGTGGGCTGCTGAGATGCTGCTGGGCTGTTTGTGCCTTGGGGCAGGTGGGGGCTTTAAACCTTGTTGTGGGACAAGTTCATGATGGCGGTGAGCTGTTTAATACCAAAGTTTTATGGACTTTTTTAAAAAAAAAAATTTTATTTTTTATTTTTTGCTTAATGCTGAAGATAAGCTGACTTGTTTGCCCTTTTTTTGGAGAAATAAAAACTGTTTCTTTTACAAAGACACAGCTGGCGAATGTTCTGGATCGCAGATTATCACAACTTGTTTCATGAGATCGGTGCACCTGTACTGTTCTATGGGAAGTAAAAAAAAAAAAAGTTTTGGCTAGAGCTATCCTTCAACTTTTCCCTTCTACTAGAATAGGGTTTTGGTTGGAATTTGGCATTAACCCTTGAAGCAAGTAAAGCCCCATCATTGACTACTGAATTTATTCTCTCTTGAGAAGAGGAGAATAAGGGGGGATATGATCTCCATGTATAATACATAAGGGGGGATATTATCTCCATGTATAATACATAAGGGGGGATATGATCTCCATGTATAATACATAAGGGGGGATATGATCTCCATGTATAATACATAAGGGGGGATATGATCTCCATGTATAAATACATAAGGGGGGGGATATGATCTCCATGTATAATACATAAGGGGGGATATGATCACCATGTATAATACATAAGGGGGGATATGATCTCCATGTATAATACATAAGGGGGGATATGATCTCCATGTATAATACATAAGGGGGGATATGATCTCCATGTATAATACATAAGGGGGGATATGATCTCCATGTATAATACATAAGGGGGGATATGATCTCCATGTATAATACATAAGGGGGGATATGATCTCCATGTATAATACATAAGGGGGGGGATATGATCTCCATGTATAATACATAAGGGGGGATATGATCTCCATGTATAAATACATAAGGGGGGGATATGATCTCCATGTATAATACATAAGGGGGGATATGATCTCCATGTATAATACATAAGGGGGGGGGATATGATCTCCATGTATAATACATAAGGGGGGATATGATCTCCATGTATAATACATAAGGGGGATATGATCTCCATGTATAATACATAAGGGGGGATATGATCTCCATGTATAATACATAAGGGGGATATGATCTCCATTTATAATACATAAGGGGGGATATGATCACCGTGTATAATACATAAGGGGGGATATGATCATGTATAATACATAAGGGGGATATGATCACCATGTATAATACATAAGGGGGAATATGATCTCCATGTATAATACATAAGGGGGATATGATCTCCATGTATAATACATAAGGGGGGATATGATCTCCATGTATAATACATAAGGGGGGATATGATCATGTATAATACATAAGGGGGGATATGATCTCCATGTATAATACATAAGGGGGGATATGATCTCCATGTATAATACATAAGGGGGGATATGATCTCCATGTATAAATACATAAGGGGGGATATGATCTCCATGTATAATACATAAGGGGGATATGATCACCATGTATAATACATAAGGGGGGATATGATCACCATGTATAATACATAAGGGGGAATATGATCACCATGTATAATACACAAGGGGGGATATGATCTCCATGTATAATACATAAGGGGGGATATGATCTCCATGTATAATACATAAGGGGGGATATGATCTCCATGTATAATACATAAGGGGGGATATGATCTCCATGTATAATACATAAGGGGGGATGATCACCATGTATAATACATAAGGGGGGGGATATGATCTCCATGTATAATACATAAGGGGGGATATGATCACCATGTATGATACATAAGGGGGGATATGATCTCCATGTATGATACATAAGGGGGGATATGATCTCCATGTATATAATACATAAGGGGGATATGATCTCCATGTATAATACATAAGGGGGGATATGATCTCCATGTATAATACATAAAGGGGGATATGATCTCCCTGTATAATACATAAGGGGGGATATGATCTCCATGTATAATACATAAGGGGGATATGATCACCATGTATAATACATAAGGGGGGATATGATCTCCATGTATAATACATAAGGGGGGATATGATCTCCATGTATAATACATAAGGGGGATATGATCACCATGTATAATACATAAGGGGGGATATGATCTCCATGTATAATACATAAGGGGGGGGATATGATCTCCCTGTATAATACATAAGGGGGATATGATCACCATGTATAATACATAAGGGGGGATATGATCTCCATGTATAATACATAAGGGGGGATATGATCTCCATGTATAATACATAAGGGGGATATGATCACCATGTATAATACATAAGGGGGGATATGATCTCCATGTATAATACATAAGGGGGGATATGATCTCCATGTATAATACATAAGGGGGGATATGATCTCCATGTATAATACATAAGGGGGGATATGATCTCCATGTATAATACATAAGGGGGGATATGATCTCCATGTATAATACATAAGGGGGATATGATCACTGTGTAATAATACATAAGGGGGGATATGATCTCCATGTATAATACATAAGGGGGGATATGATCTCCATGTATAAATACATCAGTGGTTCATATAGTGAACTCAGTGTAGAGTTATTCCCCCTGAGGTCATCACGGAGGACAAGGGGGCACTCTTTACGTCGGAAGGAAAAGAAATGTAATCTCCAAACACGGAAAGGTTTCTTCACGGTGAGAGCTGTGAAAATGTGGAATAGACTCCCTCAAGAGTGGGTTCTGGCCAGCTCAGTGGATTGCTGTAGGAAAGTCCTGGATTGTTTCTTGGATACACAGAATATAACTGGATATAACATTTATAGGTAAAGTTGATCCAGGGAATATCCGATTGCCTCTCGGGGGATCAGGAAGGACTTTTTTCCCAGCAGAAGCAAATTGGATCGTGCTTTGCTGGGTTTTTTTGCCTTCCTCTGGATCAACTGTGGCTGTAGGATTATAACTTTTTTTCAATGGTTGAACTGGATGGACGTTTGTCTATTTTCAGCCAGACTAATTATGTAACTATGCATCTATGTGACTACAGACTTGAAATGTGCTGGTAGAGACTTGTAGCAGTAGTGTGTTAGCACAGCTGACTGTATTCTCCACTAGGGGTGCTTGTGACTGGTGACTACACAGCTGGACAATTGGAAAATAGTTGTCACCACATAACAGAAAGTGTCTGAACAAGGACGTTCATCGTGGGGTCACCAGGAATTATTTTTTTGAAAGCTGCAGATTTTAACAGATTGAAAGCAGCTTTTGGAAATAAATTACCATTGTATTTTGTCTTTCCTGGTTCCTCTGTTCCTCCCTCACCAACCTGCTAATAAAATGTCACAATAAAACCTTTCTATTTTCCTTACACACCTTATTTTGGACTCAGTGATATCATCACCGGGTCTCTGCGCTTCTCTATGCAATGCAGGCTGCTTGGAGGGACTGGCAGGAAACTGTATATAGCTTCCTGAGAATATAAGTCTTCAGCCCTGATGGGAGCAGTGTGTTGGCTGTTGGGGGGAGCTATGCAAAATATGAAAAAGCCTTGATGGCGGGTGTCAGTCTGGAGAAGTGGGCTGGGTTTACATGTAGAAGTCCATAGGTAATGCCACATGGGATGCTGTGATGATGTAATTGGAAGAACTGAAATCCACTGAATGAAAGAGGTGGGCCAGCGCAGGGGCAGACTGACAACTCATGGGGCCCCCAGGCAATAGGGAATCATGGGGCCCCTGTGTCCTTGCCCAAACTCCAAAAAGCCTATGAAAAAGGTACCAGGGGCATCTCATGGGGCCCCCTACTGACCCCGTGCCCTCGGGCAGTGCCCCAGTTTCCAAATGGTCAGTCCGCCCCTGGGCCAGAGAGAGTCCTGGGGAGGAAGTTGCTAGATGATACATGAAGTCCCCCAGCCGGGAAAGTAGGCGGCTCTATCTGACTTGCTGCAGCTTCTAATGCACATTGTGAGAAGCTCACAGTGTGCAGTGAAATCAGAGTAAGTAATGTCAGTCCAGGAGAGGAGCCGGTACAACTGTGCAAGACTGAAGGGGAGGCTGGAGGTCGCATTTAAGGGTCATATGAGATTGTATTGGTTGGGTTTAGATCTTCTATAGGTGACGTTATTTGTAATTGTAAAAGTTTAGAAGCAACAATGAAGGAAAGGCTGCAAGGTCATTCTATTTGACATAAGTTATTCCACGTGCATGACTTTTCTGTGTGATCTGTAAGCTGTGGATGTGACCTAAAGGCCACATAGCTTTCTAATAGCAGCTGCCGAAAAAAATTTACAAGGCTCCCTGTGCTCCATCATGAATGACCTGTAACCAGATCCACCCCAACTGGATCTGAGGCTAACAAGGTTATATGGCAGCAAGATGTGCCGAGGGGGCAATATTCGTTCTGCCTCTTCTTTGCATGAGGTCTGTCAGTGTGCAAAATGTATGTAGAGGAGACTTCCTGAAAGTTCAACCAAAGCGATAAACTGCAACTAAATTATACATATGGACACTGTGTTAACAGGCTATAACTCTGTTCAGCCAGTCTTGTGATTGGCATAGCACTGTCAAAATACATTACAAGAGGGTGACACCACTCTGGTTGAAGCATATCTAACCCTAAGAAAATTGTAATATTGCATCCTACCAGTCCTTAGATGGGGTGGCTGCATTTTCTCAGGTTTTTTTCCTTTATTTTTACCTGGTGATAACGCCAGTAACATGCCTCCTAACACCAATGATTATGTTAGCTATCTGTAATGGTGGCACTTACCGCTGACCACCAATGTAAGGAGCATTCTTTCCACTGACCTCCAATGTAAGGAGCGTTCTTCCCACTGACCACCAATGTAAGGAGCATTCTTCCCACTGACCACCAATGTAAGGAGCATTCTTCCCACTGACCACCAATGTAAGGAGCATTCTTCCCTCTGGCCACCAATGTAAGGAGCATTCTTCCCACTGACCTCCAATGTAAGTGCATTCTTCCCACTGACCACCAATATAAGGAGCATTTTTCCCACTGACCCCCAATGTAAGGGCATTCTTCTGACTGATTCTCAATGTAAAAAGAATTATTCCTACTGGCCAACAATGTAAGGAGCATTCTTCCTAATAACCACCAATATAAGGAACATTCTTTACACTGACCACCAATGTAAGGGGCATTCTTTACACTGGCCACCAATGTAAAGGGCATTCTTTCTACTGACCACCAATGTAAGGGGCATTATTTTCACTGATCACCAATGAGAGGAACATTCTTCACATTGACCACCAATATAAGGACCATTCTTTTCAAATACAGCCAATGTATGGGACATTATTCCCACTGATTACAAATTAAAGGACCATTTTTTCCAATGATCACCAATGTAGGGAACATTATTCCCACTGATTACCAATTTAAGGACCATTCTTCCCACTGACCACCAATGTAAGGGCATTCTTTCTACTGACCACCAATGTAAGGAACAATATTCCTACTGACTACCAAGGTAATGAGCATTCTTCCCACTGACCACCAATGTAAGGAGCATTCTTCCCAATGACCACCAATATAAGGACCATTCTTTCCAATGACCACCAATATAAGGATCATTCTTTCCAAATACAACCAATGTAGGGGACATTATTCCCACTGACTACCAATTTAAGAGCCATTCTTTTCAATGACCATCAATGTAGGGGACATTATTCCCACTGACTACCAATTTAAGGACCATTCTTTCCCATGACTACCAATATAGGGACCATTATTTCCAATGACCACCAATATAAGGACCATTCTTTCCAAATACAACCAATGTAGGGGACATTATTTCCACTGACTACCATTTTAAGGAACATTCTTTTCCAATAACCACCAATGTAAGGGGCATTATTTTCACTGACCACCAATGAAAGGAACATTCTTCACATTGACCACCAATATAAGGACCATTCTTTTCAAATACAGCCAATGTAGAGATCATTATTCCCACTGATTACCAATTTAAGGACCATTCTTCCCACTGACCACCAATGTAAGGGCATTCTTTCTACTGACCACCAATGTAAGGAACAATATTCCTACTGACCACCAATGTAAGGAGCATTCTTCCCACTGACCACTAATGTAAGGAGCATTCTTCCCACTGACCACCAATATAAGGACCATTCTTTCCAACCGCCACCAATATAAGGACCATTCTTTTCAAATACAACCAATGTAGGGGACATTATTCCCACTGATTACCAATTTAAGGACCATTCTTTCCAATGACCACCATTCTTTCCAATGACGACCAATGTAGGGAACATTATTTCCACTGACCACCAATTTTAGAGGCGTTGTTCCCAATAACCATTTAAAATAAAGAGTATTCTTCCCAATGTTATAGGGCAGTATTTTCCCTGTCCAGCAAAATAAGTGGGTGATTTTCCCATTGTCCCCCATTGTGGTGTAGCTACTATACCATGAGCTGTTGATAAAATAATTTTTAGCAGGGGTTCCTTGACACCTGAAAATGATTTCAAGGGTTCCCCCACAGTAAAAAAAAAAGTTGAGAAAGGCTGGTATTGATGTTCTCCTGGAATGGGGTGCTTTGCCTGCCAAGTCCAAACCCTTTTTTATCATTCTTTCTCCTTCTACATACAACCTTCTGCAGCTACTTGCTCAGTATGCAGCCTATGTAGTCCGTCTCTGGTATGAAGTCTGTGCTGTAACTGGGGCTGTAATATTCTGGATGAGATCATCCAGGGAAGGTAAATATACTTAAAACAAGAAAAAAGAACTGAAGATGTTTTTACTGTTACAACGCAAACTTCCTGTGCAAAGTGGTGTTTATTTTTAGTAAAGAGCTGATCTGAATAGTTCAACTTAGAGGACGTTCTTTGTGCTGGGTGTAGAGGAGCTCACATGCCTAGCTGCTGGTCAAGCCTACAGAAAGCAGAGGTGGAAATCAAAGTATTTATTTTAACATCTGAAACCGAGAGCCAACATAAAATCAGTGGAATGAGTCAAATTATATAAAATGTTTAAAGCCTATCCCTGGTCTAAACAAGAAATCTTCTATACTCTGTACTGGCAGAAATGTTTCATTTGTTAACATAACCTTTTCATTTTGTCTCCTTTCCAGAGGCGATAATATGCAAATTGCTGATCTCCGAAACTAGACAGCCAGAAAAATTTGTTGTCTCTGATGTCCTTGCTTTAACCAATTGCCCTCCAGAGGATTTAACCCCCCCCCCCCCTCCTTCCTGACTAGGCCATTTTTTGCGATACGACACTGTGTTACCTTAACTGACAATTGTGCGGTCATGCAACGCTGTACCAGGGGCGGACTGACCATTTGGAAAGTCGGGCACTGCCCGAGGGCCTGGGGTCAGTAGGGGGCCCCATGAGATGCCCCTGGTACCTTTTTCATAGGCTTTTTTGAGTTTGGGAAGGACACAGGGGCCCCATGATCCCCTATTGCCCGGGGGCCCCATGAGTTGTCAGTCCGCCCCTGCGCTGTAATAAAGTTACGTGAAAGTTATAGTGTTTACAAATGGCGGTATATATACTGGAATTTTTATTTCTTTTCTTTTATACTAGTAATGGCGGCGATCAGCGACTTATAACGGCATTCTGACATGGGGGGGAAGGGGGGGCTGACTAACTGTCACTAACATCCCAATGACACTAATACAGTGATCAGTGCAAATAAAAAGCACTGACACTGTACTAATGACACTGGGCAGGAAGGGGTTAACATCTGGGGAGATCAAAGGGTTAACTGTGTGCTGTATGCTGTTTAACATTATGTGCTGTGTGGGTTTTACTAGGGAGACATGCTGTGCAGAGAAATACAAAGCAGCATGTCCTTGCTGGCAGGAGAGAGACCTGTGTTGTTTACACACAGGTCTCTCCCCTATCAGCTTTACACGGCGATAGCCGGGTGCTGGTGGGGAATCTCTGGCCGGGACCCGGTGATTGACATCCCTAGCCACAAATGGTAGTGCGAGTAGGGCGGCGCGTGCACGCGTGGTCCCTACCCAGAACTGCAAATCACATATATATACAGTGGGGATCGAAAGTTTGGGCACCCCAGCTAAAAATTTGTATTAATGTGCATAAAGAAGCCAAGGAAAGATGGAAAAATCTCCAAAAAGCATCAAATTACAGATTAGACATTCTTATAATATGTCAACAAAAGTTAGATTTTATTTCCATCATTTACACTTTCAAAATAACAGAAAACAAAAAAATGGCGTCTGCAAAAGTTTGGGCACCCTGCAGAATTTATAGCATGCACTGCACCCTTTGCAAAGCTGAGACCTGCCAGTGTCATGGATTGTTCTCAATCATCGTCTGGGGAGACCAGGTGATGTCAATCTCAAAGGTTTTAAATGCCCAGACTCATCTGACCTTGCCCCAACAATCAGCACCATGGGTTCTTCTAAGCAGTTGTCTAGAAAACTGAAACTGAAAATAGTTGACGCTCACAAAGCTGGAGAAGGCTATAAGAAGATAGCAAAGCGTTTTCAGATGTCAATATCCTCTGTTCGGAATGTAATTAAGAAATGGCAGTCATCAGGAACAGTGGAAGTTAAAGCAAGATCTGGAAGACCAAGAAAAATATCAGACAGAACAGCTCACAGGATTGTGAGAAAAACAATTCAAAACCCACGTTTGACTGCACGATCCCTCCAGAAAGATCTGGCAGACACTGGAGTTGTGGTACACTATTCCACTATAAAGAGATACTTGTACAAATATGGTCTTCATGGAAGAGTCATCAGAAGAAAACCTCTTCTACGTCCTCACCCCAAAAATCATCGTTTGAACTTTGCAAATGAACATATAGACAAGCCTGATGCATTTTGGAAACAAGTTCTGTGGACCGATGAGGTTAAAATTGAACTTTTTGGCCGGAGTGAGCAAAGGTACGTTTGGAGAAGAAGGGCACAGAATTGAATGAAAAGAACCTCTGTCCAACTGTTAAGCATGAGGTTGGATCAATCATGCTTTGGGGTTGTGTTGCAGCCAGTGGCACAGGGAACATCTCACGAGTAGAAGGAAAAATGCATTCAATAAACCTCTGGAGGAACCTTGGGTTCTTCAGAACTCTGGTTGAGAATGGTTGCGCAAAACAGCTGGCAAAAACAATTTCTATGTTGTCAGTGTCCTGTCCTAGAACATGGAATCTCACCAGCACATCACTCTTTGCTGATGAAGGGGCTTAGTGCTCTGAAATACTTCTTATGCTGCAAACTTTAATGTGCTCTACTTTGACCTTATGAGGTGCTGGTGAGACTCGATGTTGTGGGATCCTGACAAGCGCCTCCAGCTGTCTGTTTTCAGCCCTCAAATTGCAGGCTGGAAACCATGTGGAGTGCAACGTTCTTTTCTTTACGTTTTTCTCGTTAGAGAGATTTCTGATATGTGCTGCCACAGTAACTCGTCTTTTACCTTCTTCATTGTATTTTGTTTTTATTGTAATTTATCATTTTAGAAGGATGAGTTACAAATGTTTAGTGCATAATGTCAAATTACATGGTAACGTAGGTAGATAGTACAGACACAGGTCACATATACATTTCTCTAAGAGAAAACAGAAGGCCATTTACAAATCCAATCTAGACAGGTTACTATAGGTCCTCAGGAACATCTGAAGAGGCCTTGGAAGAAAAAATGTCAACATAGTACCATAGACCAGGGGTCCCCAAACTTAGCAAACAAAGGGCCAGTTTAATGTCCTTCACACTTTAGGGGGGCCGGATTGAGGATAGTGGGGGTAGAAAATGTCACATGCCAAACATTAGTGAGAACATGGCCTAAGGGTTGGTGGTCAGTAGGAGGAGGAGTAGTTCCACATCATTGGAATCAGTGGAAGAAATAGTGCTCCATAATTTGAGTCAGTGGGAGGAATAGTGCCCCATCATTGATACTAATGGAAGGAATAGTGCTCCATCATTGGTATCAGTGGGAGGAATAGTGCCCCATCATTGGTATCAGTGGGAGGAATAGTGCCCCATCATTGGTATCAGAGGGAGGAATAGTGCCCCATCATTGATACTAATGGAAGGAATAGTGCCCCATCATTGATACTAATGGAAGGAATAGTGCCCCATCATCAGTATCAGGAATTATGCCCCACTGTTGGTGTCAGTTGGAGGAATAGTGTAACATCATTGATATCAGTGGGAAGAATAGTGCTCCTTAATTGGAGTCAGTGGGAGGAATAGTGCCCCATCATTGATACTAATGGAAGGAATAGTGCTCCATCATTAGTGTCAGGAATTATGCCCCACTGTTGGTGTCAGTTGGAGGATTCACTATGTCCGGTCTCCACGGACCCTGCATTCGCTATATCCGCTCTCCCCAGACCCTGCATTCACTATATTTGGTCTCCCTGGACCCTGGATTCACTATATCCGGTCTCCCTGGACCCTGCATTCACTATATCTGGTCTCCCCGGAACCTGCATTCACTATATCCGATCTCCCCGAACCCTGCATTCACTATATCTGGTCTCCCCGGACCCTGCATTTACTATAGCCGGTCTCCCCGAACCCCGCATTCACTATATCC